ACTGTTTCGCTTAGGACCCAGAGAGCAAGGAAAAGCTCTGTGCTCCTTACGGCTCACGTCATTTGACCAAGCAGGGGAGGTTCCTGCAGGCCAGCCAAGTCTCCAGGACTGCAAAGTGAGCGCCCTGTTTGTGTCAAGGGACAGCCTTTTGGATTCACATCCTCATTAGGTTGTCAGAGAAGACTGCTTTCGAGATCCATGCAAAGGACTGCCTGTCACTGCAGATCCCAGCAGAGGAAAACACACAGGCTACGTCTAGACTGGCATGATTTTCCGCAAATGCTTTTAACGGAAAAATTTTTCCATTAAAAGCATTTGTGGAAAAGAGCGTCTAGATTGGCACGGACGCTTTTGCGCAAAAGCGTCCGTGCCAATCTAGACGCGCTTTTGCGCAAGAAAGCCCCGATCGCCATTTTCGCCATCGGGGCTTTTTTGCGCAATACAGTTTTTAGCTGTCTACACTGGCCCTCTTGTGCAAATACATTTGCGCAAGAAGGCTTTTTCCCCGAACAGGAGCAGCATAGTATTTGCGGAAGAACACTGACAATCTTATATAAGATCGTCAGTGTTCTTGCACAAATTCAAGCGGCCAGTGGAGACAGCTGGCAAGCTTTTCTGCAAAAGCACCAGTCTAGATGCAGCCACAAATGTCGGGCGAACAGGAGAATTCCTCTGCAATGGGGCTGCTGACTCTGTAATTCCATTTCAGCAGATTTTCTTTCTGAGAATGGATTATTGAAAATGTTTTCAAAATCTAATTCCAAAGACACACCGCTTTGAAATCCATCTTTTGCACTGAGTGCAGCAATAGCCGTGGGAACAGGGACTGGTTTGGGACAAGGACTCCAGATAAAGCATCCATGACAAATGGACAGAGCAGTAACCTTTCTGACATTCACCTGTATGAAACACACAAAGCTTGGAGCCAGTGAGCTCCATAGGACAGCAACGTTACCCCTGGACTTGCGGCTGTTTACATCTTTCTAGTGAAGAATCAAACTTTCTGGCTGCAGAAGCAACAGGCTCCCATCTTGAATGTCTCACAGCCAGTCAAGGTGTCCAGGAAAAAGCTCACTCTGTATTCTCCAAGGGGTTTGGTGGCTGCTTTTCTTTTGCATCTGATAATCCGGGTTCTATCCCACAAACTCTTGTAAAGATGCGCATTGAAAATCGAATTTTGGAAAGAACAGCCACCTTTGCATGCTGATGATTCAAAAACTGGCAAGTCTTATGAAGCAAAAGGCTCTTTAGCACAGGGGTTCGGTTTCTCCTTTCATTAACTATTTAGCAGACAACTGTCATAAAGCTATGAACCCTCTGAAAGCTCTTTCTTCTCCCATCGCTCCATGGCAGTGGAATTTGCAACTTACTAGGTAGTTATTTAGGAGAAAGAGGGATATTTAGTAGAAACAGAGTAACAAGTGCTCAAAATAGCAAGTGAGCCCTTTCTTTCTTTCTTTCTTTCTTTCTTTCTTTCTTTCTTTCTTTCTTTCTTTCTTTCTTTCTTTCTTTCTTTCTTTCTTTCTTTCTTTCTTTCTTTCTTTCTTTCTTTCTTTCTTTCTTTCTTTCTTTCTTTCTTTCTTTCTTTCTTTCTGTTCTCATGACCCCCTTTGAATATTTTATTCCACTGAGCCATGTACCTTCAATTAATTCTCTTCTCTGCTGTTTGTCCCTGATTTATCTGCGCTGCAGCAATATGTCCTGTGGCAGAAATGTGTAGAGTGAGATCCCTCAGAGCTCGTGGGGTTGGTGGGAAGAAGCCACACGTACGGCTGAGCCCTGACTGCACGTTGCTGAGCCAGCCACCCGCCGCTGCTATGATCTTCCCCAGACCAATTCCCAGCTCTTTGTCTCAGGAAAGCACAGTGGGATCTTCAGCAGCTGATCTTGGAAGGGTACTAGGGATACGTGTGGATAGAGCCTTGTAATATTATGGAGGCATTTATGTTGAGACAGGTCCTGGTGGTTTTGGGACACGACACTATGCCCTGGGTCCCTGTGGTGAAGAAAGAGTCTATAGTCACATGGACCCTATGATTGTGTGGAAATAGTCCGTCATTGCTTCCTGGCAAAACTTGATTTCTCAGCAGCTGTGAATTTATTGACCCTGTTATAGCGCAAAGGAAGGACGACAGGAGACTTGTCCGTGGTGATGCCGATGCAATGGTGTTCCTCGAACACTTAAGGAAATAGTGGCTGCAGTGGATCTGCTGCATTGCTCCAAGTTTGGCGAGGATATCAATTCTTGTGCTTGGGGTATCGGGGATCATGGGGGTGAGGCTGGATTAACAGGATAATGCTGAAGTTCCTCTGCAAGTGGGCAGTCGCAATGCTGAGGTCTGCTGAGTTCCCCGTGTTGGAAACCAATTGTAGACACCGTGTAGAGTCAGCAGGGGGGTTTGTTACGCACAGCGCTGGCGGAGTGCCACCTTGCCACTCGCGCTCAGCGAACACTGCTAAGAAATTGATTACAGTAGATTATATAGGGAGCCAATGGGCAGAGAGACGTGATGAGGTGGAAGTTCCCGAGCCCTTGGATAGGTTCTGGCAGCAAGACTACTGAGCATGGTAAGCCAATATTCTTAAGAGATTATACAGGCGCTCCGCCCATAGCACAGGTTAACATATTTGCTAAAACGCAAGTATTGCCCCTGCTCCCCACCCCCGAGAACGTCCCTGTATTTCATAAGCTACATCCCAATTGGAATCCATAGGAGCGGTGACGGTGTTTTCCCGAAAGGGGCGGGGAGCCGTGCGGTTGATAGGTGTTTGTCTAGGGGTACAAAGCAAAAAGACAATATCAGGTATACAGCAAAGCAATTGTTTATCAAGCTTGGATTGTTAGAGAGGGAGGAGTCCTTTCCTAGGGTATGTCTAGACTACATGGTTCCGTCGACGGAGCCATGTAAACTAGTTTACCCAGCATAGGCAAAGAAGTGGGGAATTAAATAATCCCCACTTCATTAAAATAAACGTGGACGCCGCACTGTGCCGATGAACAGGGGAAGCCTTTGCCAACTGATCCCTTATGCCTTATGCTGATTGTCGGCGCAGCGCGGCGCCCATGATTATTTTAATGAAACAGGGATTATTTAAATCCCCGCTTCTTTGCCTATGTCAGGTAAACTAGTTTACGTGGCTCCGTCGACGGAGCCATGTTGTCTAGACATACCCCTAGTGTCGTGATAGGCCTTTCTCTGAATCTGTGGTTGGCCTTGGGAAGGTAGATGTTGTTTCTGTCCCATGCCGGATGGCAGACTATGAGGTACTCTGCAGAGCCGTAACCTTGACTGTGTGTGAGCCAATTATAGCTCTCCATTTGGTGTTGTGCTGCCAGCTTCTTTCCTTTCTGATAAACAGACAGGGTTGTTTTCTATGCTCATCCTTCTTTCCCGGAGCCATCTATTGTCTCTTATGGCTCAGCTAGGCCTTGTGTCTCTGCTCTGACTGGACAGCAGGGCCTCTGAGGGAAAGCTTCACCAGAGACCGTAATTTAATGTCTAACCTATATATCAATGGGCTTTTGGCAATTTATTCCTACACCTACACTGCCCTCTGAATGGGGCAGAACGTGCAAACTTCCTATCCACAGTTCTAGCCATTTCAACCTATTGTACAGGTGGGGATTATTCAAGAAGACTTATATGGCGTATGGTGCAAAAGAGATAACCCAAATGCATTAAATTGCTCTGCTGCATTAATGGCCTGTGTCTTAATGTCCTCGTCTCACACAAGAAATTCCACAAGTGCAATTTGTGTCTGTAGTCAAAATGGACTCAGTCAGTTGGGTTTGAAATATACTTGTCAAATCAACATTTGGTGATGTCAATTGACAAAGGAGTGGAGCTTGTGTCTGACTGGAAGATGAACACAGCAAGGCGACCAAAGACAGCAAGCTTAGTTTTACTGAGATCTAGTGTGTGATTAAATCAAAAATCTCAGCATGAAGTGGAAAAGTATTTTTGCTCCATTGCCCTAAATCGTCTCATCTTATCTCCAGCACAGCAATTTGAGTGCAACTTTAGTCAAGGAGAAGACATGGTTGAATTTAAATGCTCATTCGGCAGTCATGGAAGACTCTTTTTGTAGATGAATGCTGAGTTGTACATATCACTGGAAGTCCTGGCACAGGAGAAGAGAAGAATGTCCTGGTATTATTCTCAAAGAAGGCTGCCGGCCCCATAATTACAGCAGAATGTATCTTTGAGAGTTTTATAATGGAAACTGTTCTCGGGATAACCTGAAAAAGATACAGTGGTCTGAATGCTCGTTCCTAGCACCGGGCATCATGATAGCGATGGAAACGGGGATTGGCTTGGCCAACTCAGGGTAGAAGTGGGTCATTCCTAACATGTGCTCTGTAGCTGTGACTATTCCCAGAGGGGAATTTGCCTTTGTAATGCATTAGCCAGTTGTGATTCGTATTCAGTTCTTAGCTGACAGTGTTGAATTTTCAAGTGAATTCCAATCTAGGTGTCTCCCTTTGTCACTGGCTTGGAAAAGCTTTTGTGGAAGGAGGGCTACTTTCAAGTCCATTGCTGAATGTCTGTGGAGGTTAGTGTCCCCTCAGGCATGAGTGTGCCACCATTCCTGAGGTCTGATACATGTTCATTTAGCCGTCATGTGCCCATATCCACATTAGGTACATTTCTTAGGTATTTTCCTTTTCCTTTTTCTTTTCATTCAGAAAACCTGGGTCACTCTAGGGCAAAAACATTCCCAGGTGCTTATCACAAACCATGTGATTGGACTTCTGGAAATGAAAGAAAAACCATGTAGCTATTGAAAGTCTAAAGGCTCTTTGCTCAATCACCCATGCAGGTGGCCTGCATAATGCCATAGACCTTCTCAGCAGCTTTCTTCTCCATCATTCCATCGCTTCCGAATCTGCAGTTTGAGAATTGCCTATTGCTGCCTGAGCTACAGGGCTAACTTTCCTCCGGTGCAATCCATAAACAAAAAAGGAAGAAGGAGAAGAACCACAAGACGGATATTTGGATGCAATAGAGTTTTTAATGTGAATGACATTTGCGATACACAATTACAGAAAGCGACAATACAAACCAGAGAGAATGTTTTCCTGCTGCTTTAATATGGGCTATTTGAGGCAAGAAGCTCTTTTTCTTTTTTTGCAGCTGCAAGGTCGGCCAAAAAATTAATAAATACGACTGACGCCTTTCTTAAGCCCCTTCTTTGCTTCACACTGTACGGTTATTATAAACAGGGTGAGCGTAATTCTCAGTGAGTCCACATGTAACTAAGAGAAGAAGCATGTGGTTGGGAAAGCATTGGCAGAAAGAGTTCCTAGCAAGACATTAGAAATGGGTCCATGAGAGAAAGGGGCTGGGCAGATAGCGCTCGTGTGAGGCTCAGCTTCAGCCTGGCTAATACAGCCCTTCTGAAATCAATATCAGAATCTATTGGTTGCTTTTAATTTTCTGGTTTTCTTTGACCATAGAGATTCCTGCCGTGTCTAACATGGGGTGCAGCTTCCACTCAGGTACCTATGACAAGATACTCCAGTGCCACAAGATCCTCCATAACCGTAACCTCCCCTATAACCACAGAGTCCCCCATAGCCTCCCCCATAACCACAGAGTCCCCCATAACCTCCCCCATAACCACAGAGTCCCCCAAAACCTCTCCCGTAACCATAACCACCTCCATAACCACAGAGACCCCCATAACCAAAATGTCCACCATAACCACCCAAACCTCCCAAGCCGTACATTCCCCCATAAGGCGCTCCATATCCAGAGAGTGCTCCCGCACCAAATGAGCCGCCGTAGCCGGATCCCACCACAGGGGCTCCGAGAGCTCCCACTTCACTCTGCTGAGGGAAGGTGCTCATAATGGGCCCTGGGATGGTCACGGCAATCGGTGAGGGTCTGATCACCACTTCGGAGTCAGGGCACTGCCTCACACATGGCTCGTTGCAGGTGCCAGAAACTGGGCTGGGTCGGGCCACCCCGCATTCTGGATAGCAAGACATCTTTGTGTGATGGAGGGAAACCTGAAACACAACAGAAGACAGAATATCGAGAAGGTGTAGGTATTGTTAGAACACTCGTCTCTTAGCTGGGTTCCTGTTGTAGTGGGGTCTGTATGGGGCCTGATGGAAAGAGGACATGGGTATGTCTTTGTCCCTACTTCATCTTTCGATGACTCTTACCCTCTTACACTAAACTTCTCTCCCAAAGGGCCCCCTTGAAATCTTCTCAATGAATTAGCCTGGAACAAATAGCCTGTAACTATTTAATTGATGAAAATCTGGGATTCGGTACCAGTTAAGACATTTCTCTCAGGGTACATCTACACTATAGAAAGAAGTCGAATGCATAAACACAACTTCAGCTATGTTAATTGCATAGCTGAAGTGAAGGTGCTGTGGACGCTGCAGAAAGTCAAAGGGAGAACACTCTCCTTTGGACTTGTCTTACTCGTCGTTCAAACAGAACTATTGACGTCGACTGAAGTGCCCATTTCCTTCGAATGAGCTGTCTTAAGTGGATCCGCTAATTCCAACCCTGGATGATCGATAGTGGCAGCTTCGATCTTCCTCTGTGGCATAGACGTACCCAAAGACACTATGGTTGGGATAATGCCAATCTTTTCCTTTTCTTTGAGGAGCCAACTTTAGCATGCAAACTAGTTTTGTCTCCTTTCATAGTGCTTCTTTGGTTTTCCAACTCCTGCTGGTAACCGACACTTGCTGATGGCTGAAGAGTAACTCTTTTTTTCCCCATAGAAATCACTAAGGACAAGATCCTCGATGGGGTAAAATGAGCTCTGGCCAGTGACTTCAATGGAGCAAACCATACTTATACCATCTAAGCAGAAGCATGATCCATGGTGATACATACTCATGAGAACAGAGGAATTGGTACATTGGATCATACCAGTTGGCAGCTTAAGAATTCTCCTATCCCCCAAGCGAGGTGTAGCAGATGCTTTAGAATATATTAGGAGAGTGCTGAATTGGCCAAGTATGAACTACTCTGGGAAAGTTTCTTCTGATCCCAGCTACATGAGAAAGTGCCAAAGGACTTCCTATAGTTCCTTTAAAGGTTAAAGCTTTAATTTTGTTTAGAGTTAATAGGAAATCTGTTTTGCAATTCCATGTGTTGCACCAAAAAAACCCACCTTTGGCTTCAAATCGTACATCCATCACAACCTGCAACTGAATAACTATGTGGGATAAACATGGAAGAAAAACCTCGTTCATGATAAGTATCTCGGAGAATCAATGCAAGATTCACTCTAAAGTGGAGAAGGCCTCTACTGTGCCGTTTCTGATAGGAGAAAGAGATGGAGTCAAGTTGGACTTACCGAGATCACCGAGGAGATGAAGTCCAGAGAAGTGTTTAGAACAGTTTTGAGTTACAAGGCCTTTTATACAGTTTCCAAAATGGCCTGGAGGGTTTATGGTGCGTGTTGTACAGGAACCCCCAATTAGTTATCACACAAACTTGGTTGCCTTGGTACATCCTCCTTTTGATGCAGCTGCTTCCCCAGGGCTGGGCATGTTTATTATTAGGGCTAATCCCACTGATGCACATTACATGCTGCATTCCCTGTGTCCTGGTGGTGCAATGAGAGCGAATGTCAAGATGATTCAGAGCTGGATCAGGAGCACAACTGGGTCTCATGAGCAGAAATCCAGTTTGATATTCTGCTTCACTGTGTTCAATCGTGGGGACAGTGTGTAGTTTATTCTAACTTTGGTAGGATGCACAGAGCTATTGTTGAGGGATACCAAAACCAAGATTCATCGCTGGCCTAGTGAACAACGTGCCCACATCGCCTCTATGAATCCAGATTCTCTGCGCCTTCCAGTTTTTACCCATTTCTGCACTTTTAGAATCCAATGGTTTTGCAGCTTAGTCTTATGCTCCTATTCTACTTTGTTCTCTGTGATGTGAAGTGAGATAGAAGAAGTCAGTGGCGTGAGAATCGGACATGGTTTTCAAACTCTGTGCCTTCAAGAAAGAACCCAGAACATCCTGTGTGTAAAAATGCATAATTTTGGAGCGGGGGCTGGGTTAACTCTTTTTGGAACCCTGAAATACTCAGCAACAATGTATTCTGCAATTGTGTGCTCCACCTTTCTTTCCCATCAAACATTATGCTGTATCTTAGCATTGGCCTTCTGGTTTTCCTTTTCCTCACTTCTTTCCTCCCCAAGTGCAGGGGGTAACATTCTCCCCTGTGCAGGTTTTCAGTACCAACCCCTCACACCACAGGCTTCCAAATGAATCCCTGATCTGGTCCTATTACAAATATCGTTCTTACAAATATCGAATGTTCAGATAGCTGTGCTGATATCAAGATTATGCTCAATCACCACCAGCATCAATATTATGCTCAATCAATCTGTTCATTTCACAATATCGTTGTCACCTCGACATTTGGTCACGTGAAGTTGAATTCTCTAAAAGAACCCAATTCTCTTGGCTTCTTGTGAACTGAGATTCAATGACGGATCCTCCCCATTGGTTTCCTTGTCCACTGATTGAGAGCTGGTGCAGATGGAGTAGCAGCGTATGCACAAATACTCTCTGAACTATGCAGGGTAAAGAGACTTTATTCTCTGGCTCATCATCTACCCTTCAACTTTAAAGTAAATATAAAAGGGAAATGAAGAAGTACACTGAATGAGAATGAAAGAACCCCGATTTCACAGGCTCGGATTCAAGAAGCAAACCCTGAAATGACATATTAGACCTTGACTTACTATTTTAAAGTCAATTTAAAGTCAGCAACAAGAATGACCGATGAAAGAAGGCTGAAAGAATTGTGTTTGTTTAGTTTGGAAAAGAGAAGATTGAGGGGGGACATGGTTTTCAGGTATCTAAAAGGGTGTCATAAGGAGGAGGGAGAAAAATTGTTCTTCCTGGCCTCTGAAGATAAAGCAAGAAGCAAGGGACTTAAACTGCAGCAGGGGAGGTATAGGTTGGACATTAGGAAAAAGTTCCTAACTGTCATGGTGGTTAAAACTGGAATAAATTGCCCAGAGAGGTGGAATCTCCATCTCTGGAGATATTTAAGAGCAGGTTAGATAAATGTCTATCAGGGATGGTCTAGACAGTATTTGGTCCTGCCATGAGGGCAGGGGACTGGACTCGATGACCTCTCGAGGTCCCTTCCAGTCCTAGTATTCTATGATTCTATTATTCTACATTAAAACATGTAATCCTAATACCTGTTATTACTTCTATAATACACAATTCTTTGGCTGTCTACAAAATAATGAGTGGTTGTGAAGTGCTTTAAATGCTTACATCAGAGGAAGCACCAGACAATCCACCATGATAGTTACAATTACACCAGTTTGCCGCAGAGGTCAACGGAGGCACGTTAAGATGAAGGTCAGACAGGGAGAGGGTTAGAGTTAGGGTTATCAAAACAAAAAAAAAAGTGGTTGAGACCCTGAATCTCCTGGATCCCCACTGGACACTTACCATTCTCCCCTTCGAAATACGTCACTCACCTGAGAGTAGCTCTTGGAGAGGCTTCTTTTGGCATTTGTCTTATTTTAGTGTGATGATTTTTGGAAAAAGTTTCAGTGAAATATTGTCTCATGTAAGTGTGAACCAAGATCTACAATCCGTATTTTGCCGTCCATTATAATTCCCTTTATTTGCAGGGGACAGCGCTGTGATGGCTATTTCCATATGAGTAGATTTAAATTATATTGTATGAAAGATTATTCCACTGGATTTTAATGCGGACAGTTTTATTCCTGCACTGCACATGAACAAACATGAAATGCACTCGCTTGGAATTCATTGGACAATCAATGTCCTCACAAGTAAAGGTGGCTAATGTTAGAAACACGACCTATTTCGTCCCTCATTTCACAAATCTTAAGGAATTCCAAACCACTGCGTCATTACGACCCATTAGAGAGACACGTTCCCAAGGAAAGAAAAAGTTGCACGCACAGGGCAGAGGGCGATTTCATCCCACTGGGTAACATGCTTCAAAGGAAGTTTTTGGTGCTGGAATTCTTTATGGTGGTTTCCATCACTACCACACTTACAGAAATGATATCGATATGATGGACTGTAATTCTTTTGGAGAAGTATTGTCTTCAGCAATAAAGAAGAGACAATAAAACTGGACCAGTTTTTACAATTGATGCTTATGTGTCATGTTTCTATTTCATCACTTTGCAGCCCGTAATCTTCACCTCAAAGTGCCTTTTTTTGGACACCTATAAAATGGGTATATTAAGAATTTTAAAGGGGGAAGTTATTCAGCATTCTTTGAAATGAAAATTTCAAAGGACTACAAAACACTCAGTGGGGTTTCATACACGCAAAGCAAGGTACTCTTAATTAACATTAAATTATTCGGGGATTAGACACTCCTGCAATGAGTAATAGAGTCACTTAAAAATAGAGGCCAAGGTCTCTCATGTCACTCCTTGAATTGGGTCATGATGGAGAGTCAGAGAATTTGGAATATTTTTTTGCATTCAAACTTATGGTTTCACTTGGTATTTAAAATATATTTTATAGAAAAATATGGTGCCTTTTTATGTAAATCAATTAAATTGCTTCAGGGCCCTAAAACTGAAGGAAGATATTTCTACCTTCTTCCCCATCTATGAAAGACATTGCTATGGATGTGTATTACAGTGAGATCTTCATTTAGGATCCGGAAGGAATGTTTTCTGCAACACGACCTATACCTGATCCTATCGTATCCAAGAGCCATCTCCTCCACACCAAGAATCGATGATCTCCACCTCCTCTGGCCATATCAGGGCCTATTTAAATGTTTTATCTTACAAGACCTCACTTTCCTGTCAGCTCAGTCACAGAGAGAATGTTTCGGACGGAGTCCATGTTTTATGGTTTAACACAAAAGCGTTCCATCAAAGAGCCCTGCTTCCTGTCCCAGACTCCATCTCTTCCCTGGACCCATGAGGAAATCAACATCCTGCAGCCCCTTGAGACCGCATAGGTGACACAAGAAGAGGTCCAGAGACAGGTCAAATTTCAGACATCGGTGGGAGAACTTCACTCTTCAGAGAGGATCACGTTCTATTATAATGTGTAAAGCGGGAATGTAGATGCACCTGGGTGTTATTCTCTCCTCCTGCCAAAGGCGAATGTGAGAATTAAACTCCCGATAGAAAAAATGCACTGCAGGAAATTGAGTGGCTGATTCCACCGAGAATGGGATGTGAACATTCAATATTTGTAAGAATACTCGACAATAGCTCTCTGCATCCTACCACATTGAGAATAAGCTATACATTGCCCCCAAGAGTGACCAATGTGAAGCAGAAGATCAAACTGGATTTCTGCTCCTGAGACCCAGTTGTGCTCCTGATCCAGCTCTGAATCACTTTGACATTCGCTCTCATTGCACCACCAAGGCCCCGGGAATGCAGAGTGTAATGTGCATCAATGGGATTAGCCCTAATAATAAACATGCCCAGCCCTGGGGAAGCAGCTGCATCAAAAGGAGGATGTACCAAGGCAACCAAGTTTGTGAGATTACTAATTGGGGGTTCCTGTACAAAACGCACCATAAATCCTCCAGGCTGTCTGAGACAATGAACTCTTCTAAACGCTTCTTTAGACTTCATCTCCTCGGTGATCTCGGTAAGTCCAATTTGACTCCATCTCTTTCTCCTCCGAGAGATGTCACAGTGGGGGCCATATCTGCTTTAGAGTAAATCTTGTACTGATTCTCTGAAATTTGTAACATGCATGATATTGGTCTTTGATCATTATCCTATGTAGTTATTCAGTTGCAGGTTGTGGTGGATGTATGATTCGAAGCTAAAAGTATGTGTGTGCGGGAGGGGTGGTTCAGGAGCAACACATGGAATTGCAAAACAGAGTTCCTATTAACTGGAAACAAAATTAAGGCCTTTTAACCTTTTAAGGAACTATAGGAAGTCCGTTAGTCTGTGAGCACAATCCTAGCTGTAGTCTCTTTGGATTCGTCTATGCCACAGAGGAAGATCGAAGCTGCCACTGTCGATTATCCAGGGTTCAAATTAGCGGGTATAGGAGAGGGGCTCTTCGGTCGATGCCATTGGTCTCGGTTTCATAAGGAATAAGGGCAGTCAATTTGACTTTCTGCAGTCCTGGCAGTGCCTTGACTTCAGCTATGCAATTAACGTAATTAATACAACCTTGTCCCATAGTGTAGCGATACCCTGAGAAAAAAGGTTTGAAATGGAAACAGAATTCCAGATTTCTATCAATTAAATGGTTACACTCCTTCCAGTTGATTTGAGACAAAATCATTGAGAAGGTTTCAAAGGGGCCCTTTGGGAGGAAAGTTTAGTGTAAGTGGATAAGAAGACTAGAAAGAGGAACTGGGAACAAAT